GGGCGTGTTCCGAAGCGAGTGGAGGCGTGGCTCCGGGGCGGGTAGGGGCGTGGCTTCGGTAGGAGCGCGGGAAGCCTGCCTGGCGGCGGTCCCTCAACACAAACTACTCCGCTACTTAGTAATACCACGTAAATACTTCTATAATTAAAAGAGGTAAGGCTCGCACTCTATAGGAAATTCCGAGCATAAGCAACAAGTTAAATTAGTGACGGAACCTCTCTGGGGGCTTGGACGAGCCGCTGCCTGCATAGCTGTCCTCTGGCTCTGCATTCCAGCCCGAATAAACGCGAGGGTTTTTTGTTTTGTTTTTCAGATTCTTCATTCTCATAAAGACCCGTGGCGGAGAGGACTAAAGAACGGCTCACTTGATAATCCAATCAAAGTCCTCTCACCCATCATTTGGGGCGGGGGCACCGTCTTTATGTAGTCCTGGCCGGCCCAAAAGTGCCTAGTGTTTATGCTTTTGTCTTTATTCTCTTTAACGCCCGAGCCACGTCTCCAGCCCGTTTTACCGCTTTAATTTTTACATTTTTGCCTTAAGGCAAGGCCTCATTATGTTGCTCAAGCCGTCCTGGTACACACTGTATGATCTAGGCTGGCTTCAGTAATTTTTGACAATCCTACTTTAGTCTTCTAGGTTTACAAGTGGGAGACACCACTCCTGGTCCCTCCTACTTTCTACTCCATAATGCCAAGGCTTTACCTCAGAGCACAAACCTACCCATAGAAAACCTTCAGTAGCCCCCCCCCCCCCCCCCAGGCAGGGTTTCTCTATAGCTTTGGAGGCTGTCCTGGAATTAGCTCATGTAGACCAGGCTGGCCTCAGACTCACCTGCCTTTGCCTCCCCAGTACTGGGATTAAAGGTGTGCGCAACCACTGCAGGGTTTAGAAGATTTGGTTTTTGAGAGCTCCCCCAGGTATCAACATAAGGTTGGTACCCAGTTCAGGTGAACCTGGGTGGTAGCGCGTGCCTTTGATCCCAGCACTCGGTAGGCAGAGGCAGGTGGATGGATCGTTTTGAGGCCAGTCTGGTCTACAGAGTTTCAGGAAAGACGGGGCTATACAAACTGTCTCGAAAAACAAAAAATGAAGAAATGGGAAGCCCCTGTGCCTTGCGATCAGTTCTGACAATGAAGCCACCCTGAGTGCTGAAGGAGTCCTAAGGCCCTTCCATCCCCAAGCCAAGAATTCGTCTGAAAACCAGAGGCCAACTATGAGTCTCCAAATTTCATGTTCCCTTCTGCTATTGGTCTGGGTTCAGGGTGGACAGATTTTGGTGGTTTCTAATTCAGTCTGTTCTAGGCTCCCTGTTTGGGTACATGGACACGTGTGTATAGCATTTCCCAGGAAATTTACCACAGAGCACCCAAGTTTTAAGCAAAGACACCAGCTGTCGAAAATGCAAGCAGTCCAGTAAATCTGGAGCCTGGTGGCACACCTTTAATCCCTGCACTTGGGGAGGTAGAGGCAGGCAGATCTTTGTGAGTTCAAGGCTAGTAAGTTCCAGACCAGCCAGGGACACAGTAAATTCCTGCCAAAACCAAAACAAAAATACTTTCCCATCCCAGGGGCTGAAGAGATGGCTCAATGGTTTCTCCAAAGGACCCGGGGTCAATTCCCAGCAAGCACATGGAAGCTCACAGCGGTCTGTGACTCCAGTTCCAGGGGAACTGACATCCTCCCACAGGCAGACATGAAGGCAAAACACATAAAATAAATGCACATAAAATAAACGAGTTTAAAAAAAGTTCCATCTCAGCACTCAGGAGACCAAGGACAGGAGGTTCAGTAGGTCATCCTGGGCTACAGTGAGAACACATTAATAACAAAAACCCTATCCCATCTCTCTTATGCATCATCATCATGAAGAAACTGTAGCAGTTCCTATTGCATAACTAATCACCTCTTGGCTTTCCAGACCTAGAACAGCTGTGGTGGCCACAGCTGACAACTGGTCCACAGGCATGCTACCCTGCCCTCTCCATCATGCCTGGCACATGGCAGGTTTTCCTTTTAGGCCAACAAAACAACCCCGGGGAACCTGAATACAACAAAGAGCCCACTTTTATAAAACTCTAAATTTATTCAAAGTGTTAAAAGATTTCACTCTCCCCTCCAAAATATTTTATAATTAAAAAAAAATCAAAACTATCTTCTCAGCCACTGTTACCTCCTTTTCATAGGACCAGCCTCTGCCCCTCCAAGCCTTGGCCTCCAACCCCACCCCCTGCCCAATACCCTGCCTTGATTGCCTAGCAGAGCCCCCAGCGTGGCTTTCCAGTCCTTTGTGACAGAAAGGCTGGCTGGCTGGGGAATGCACAGGCAATGCCCAAGACACTGTGGGTGCTTTGTGCTTTTGGGAGAGCTAGTTGGATTTTTTTCAAATAGGTCACTCTTTTTGCCCATGGACACCTGTTTAGAGGCAAATCTTTGGCTTAGGGTCACCCCCAGCCTTGTAAAGCCTTTGTCCAGATCTCCCCAGGCATCTGACGACTGTGCCCCGTCTCCTTGTAAGCCAGTGTCAGGAATAAAAAGTGGCACAGGGGAAGGGGGGCTTGATGGAGTTCCCAACTTTTCAGAGTGTGGGCAGGAAGTTTTGGGCTCTGCAGGCAATGGGCCTACGATGACCACAGGAGGCAGGGCAGTGAAGGGAAAGGTCTAATGATGTAAGTCTAGGGTAAGCAAAGTTCCTTCCGAGACCCCCTTCCCATCCTCCCTCATCCTGCAAGTCCCAGGATGATTCTAGAAAAGAGGACAAAACAGAAGAAAAGGGCTCTGCTGTGGTGATGGGAAAAGACAGGAGATGACAGCTGCTTGGGGCTGGGGAGGGGCCTTCTGGAATCTGTAGCTGGCTGCTTTCCGGTTCTGTGAAGCTGGGTTGGGGGCCAGAAGCCAGGCCCACAAAGACTTCATCAGCTCTGTTCCTTGTCCTTAACTAATAAGACTGTGTGCTGGCCCCCGCTGGACACACTTAAGACCACACGGTTCTCTAGCTGTTTGCCAGTCATTTCCACAGGACTCCAGGCATCTTCATCTTGCCCAGTTCCCAGCTGGTAGTTGGTGCCCATGCCCCAGGCAAAAACACGACCTAGAAGGGATAGAAAAAGAGGCAGCTGTCTTTGAGGTCCCCAGGCCTGCCTTGCTGTACCAAGAGATATGTGGCCTTGACCAATAGCAGTCTGGCGAGGCCCTAGCCCCAGAGTTCAAAGAAGCTTGGAAGAGCTGAGGAGATTGCTCCCCCACTGCATTCTCCCTACTCCAGAGCATAGCACCATAGGAGGCTACATCCTAAGTCCCTGTTCCTTGAACCTTTTAAGACTAAGATGCTCCTGGGTTTGATATGCCACCCTCTGGGTGGTGTTTTAATTTTTTTTTTTTTTTTTAGATAAGGTCTCACTATGTAGACAAGGCTAACCTCAAACTCAGTGATGTGCTTGCCTCTGCCTCCTGAGTGCTGGGACTGAAGTGTGTGCCACCACACCTGGCCAATCCTCTGGTTTTCACGAAGGACTGAACCTCTGTTCAGGACGGAATGCTGCAGTGCGAACCCGCTTCTTGAGGAAGTCCTCCCAGGTAAGGACAAGCACTGCTGCCAGTCTGAACTCTGGAGGATCCCCGGCTGTGCACCTCTTCCTGTGCTTTGGCTGCTATATGCCTACATCCTTTTCTGCTGGACTAGCCAGGACCCACATGGTAGCTCACAACCGTCAGTAATTCCAGTCCCAGGGGATCTGATGCCCACTCCTGGCTTCTGCAGGCACCAAGCACATACACAGTACATATACAGATATGAGACAAAACAACAGGAACAAAAAAATGTGTTGTGGGATACACTAAGTGAAGATGCATGGTGGTGATTAGCATAATAAAAAGCTGAACAGCCAATAGCTAGTCAGGAGGTACAGGCAGGATTTCCAGGGAGAGAAAGGAAGAGGAAGAATCTAGGTGTGGAAGGGAGCCAGGATAAACAGAGAGAAAATAGGAGGTACAAGAAAAAAAGAGATGTCACACCATGTGATATAATACAGACTATTAATGGGTAAATTTAAGTTAGAACAGCTAGTTAGATACAAGCCTAAGCTATAGGCCAAGCTTTTGTAATTAATAAAAAGTCTCTGTGTCATTATTTGAGAACTGGCTGGCAGGGCAGAAAAAAACTCATTACATTAAGTCCAGCATGATGGCACATGCCTATGATCTCAACACCCATTCCACTCAAGGCAGAGATAGGGACAGGCGAATCTCTGAGTTCCAGGCCAGTCTGGTCTACATGGTGAGAGAAACCCCATCTCAAAATCGAAATGCCAAAATAAAATAGCAAAAATACTCCAGGGTTCCTGAGAGTCAGTGGCAAAGCAGAGTCATCTCCAAACAACCTGAAGAATACGCTAGGAATCGTGCTCCCCAGGCTCCAACCATACCAGACCTGAGGAGCCTTACTCACCATCTTTGGACACAGCATAGCCCACAGAAGCCCCACAGGCCACTGAGGAGACGACAGGCAGCCGGGAAATGAGGGTGGGTATACTCTTCTCCTCAGCACCCTCCCCAAGGCCTAGCCGCCCATACTCAGCTCTGCCCAGGCTGTATGCT